AACCTGGTCTAGTGGAAGGTGTCCCTGCCCATGGCAGGGGGGTTGGAACTGGATGATCTTCAAGGTCCCTTCCAACCCAAACCATTCTGTGAACCTGAAAATGTTCGCTTCGGCTTTTTCTTTTCGTGTGCATCTTGAATACCGTTTCTTCCCTCCTTTTGTCTACATTGGTCATTGCTATGGTATTTGAATGCCTGATACTCATTAATAGATTTTGTCTTGGCAAAACTCTGATGATGATAGGAAGTGTTATGACCCTTTAGAGCTGAGGCATGCTGAGATCTAAGGAGTTGTGTAAAATCAATTGCAAGATCAAAAATCTGTAGTTCTGCCCTGAGCTGAACCTGATCAGATAGAGTGTGGTGAGTCAGCCTCTTCACAATTTTGCCAGCACATTGGACTTGACTTGTTTTCTTTTCCAGTTAGTTTTGATTTAATAAGAGGTGCTAGAGTTGTGCACTTACCACCTTTTTGTCATTTGTTAACAATATTTATTTTAATTAAATGGAGAATTTCCGGTGTGAACGTACTTTACTGCTCTGTTTTTGTATTCTTCATTGTTAATCTGCCTCCTTTTCTTCTTATTGCAGGTGCTGTGCAAGCTTTTCCACACAGCTCTGCCACTATATTTCATTCTTGAACTGCAACACATTCTTACTTTTCCAAACCAGGACCTAGATACTGCCAGTTGTGCAATGGTTTTATGATCTGGATAAACATACACTGACATCACCAAATTCATTCTTATTTGTTACCTAGTTGATAAATGAACCTAGATCTCCAGAGGTGAAAAGCTAGTGCACTAACACACTCACTGCACGACCTACTCTAAAACTCTTTAATTTTAGTTATGGTAGGACTCCTCTAAGTTACTAATGTTACCAAGTGCTGTCCTGGATTAAAGCGTTAACATAAGTAATGTTTGTTTAGTTTCTGCTTCTACTATAAAGTATGAAATGGTGCATTTTTTCCATAAGAAAATACAGTGGATTGTGTGCATGAAAACTCAATTCCCTCACATACAAATACTACTGGACTCAGTCAGCTGTGAATGCAGATGTTTAAACTTAAGTGGGGGTGAGGCTGAGGTCTCTCTGAAAATCTGTCCCACTGTCTTCATGTCAACTTTCTTAGTTTTCATTGATGTATAAGGTAATTCCTCTTCTGTAATTGGAAACAGTGTGCAGCAACTTAAATGAGAACTCTGCTTTTTATTTTAGGACAAAAATCTCTCAAGATATTGAAAGACTGATTCATCAGAATGACATTATAGACAGAGTTGTGTATGACCTTGATAATTTGAGGTAAGGTTTTACCCTTCCCAAAACAACATTCAGTGAATACTGCAGGCCTGTTCTACTTTCTCTGTGATGCGATGTTTAACATGAAAAGCAGTACCATCATAACAGTCTTCAGTGACAGTCTAATCTGGTGTAACAGTGTTTCTGCTATCCAGGCTGTAATTAGAGGAGGTTTAAAAATAATTTTTGAATTACTAAGTAAAGGCTATAATAAACTTGTTTTATTTAAGTTAGTTTTATTCATTTTAGTCCCTTTTCTTTTTCTACCCATAGTTGTTCAGTACCAGAGGAAGCAGATGTTTTGAAGTTTAATTCCAAATTTGAATCTGGAAACCTGCGCAAAGTTATTCAGATCAGAAAGTAAGATATTTCAACTCTTCTTTTCCCATGTAAAGCCTGTTATTTCTGCCTCTTAAAAAGCTTGATTTGTTTTTGTTAATCTTTAGAAATGAGTATGACCTAATTCTGAACTCGGATATAAATAGCAATCATTATCATCAATGGTTTTACTTTGAAGTCAGTGGAATGAAAACTGGCATTGGTTACCGGTTTAACATCATCAACTGTGAAAAGTCAAACAGTCAGTTTAACTACGGTAAGATCCATTTCTCATACTTTGAGGAGAAATATGTAGAAAAATATCTCCATTAGACAGCTCAGCTGTTTCCTTCCCTCCACTCTGACATCAGTAGTATATTCATGTTGTGACATCAGATTTTTTTTAAAATAGTATTACTAGAAAATGTTTTGACATGTTTCCTTTAAAAAGAAAAAGAAGTCTTAAAATACTGGCTTGCAGTTTTTTAAATGAAGTTCTGTTGTAAGTGAGGTCAAAGCAGAAGAAATTTACTGGTGGCTGGAGCCTAAATTTGTCCTAGGACCATTGTAAGGAAACAGCGCCAAAACCCATTGGTGCATAGAGGTGCAAGAAGAGTGACAGCTGTCATCATCAGTACCTTTCTGAACAGAGGTGTATTCTTAGATGTGAAAATAAGCGGAGACGTTCTTAAACAGCTTTGTCTTATCAATGGGAAGAGAGGCATGTTACTTGAGAAGGAAAAGTAAGTCTCAATTGGAATTCTGGACTTCATAGTAAGTAATCTTCATAGTAATCTTTGCGGCTTGTATGTCGCCCAAAAGAACTAGCTTACTGAATGCCTGTCTTCCACTTGTCTGGGGTGGAGTGTGTGTTATTTAGCTTAAAACCATTTGTTTTGTGGGGCTGCTTTTTTTTCCTGCTGGATTTTCTGAAATTTGTCCTTTAAGAAGGAGCAGCAGTTCCCCTCGCCCACCCCAATCTCAAACTCTTGGGACAGAGTAACTTCATATTCTTCTTTGTTGTAATTGTTCAATTCACATTGATAAAATCCAAGCATACCAGGTAGTTTGACCCGTAATAAGATGCCTTTAAATTATTTACTAATCTTCACCAGTTACCTTAGTTCGTCAGTCATATATTGCATATACTGGCTTTTGTTTTTTTAAGTACACTGACTGAATCAGTCAGTGTATGTAGCTAACTAACTAGTAAGTAATGTTTAATGACTATGTATTCTTTTCTACTCTAACTTCATACTAAGTATTTAACTTGTGTACTCTCCAACTTTAAAGAATTACTGTTTTTAAAACAAAGTATTTCCTGAAACACCAGTTATTTTCAAGCTATCCATGTGAATGGATGATAGTATCAATTTTCTGTATTCTCATTGAAGCCTTTTTGGTGCGTTGGAGGGAGTGAGACCCAAGACTACTTGTGGTTAGCATGAATGGTAATCTACAACTTTCATTTAAAGATTTTATTTTGTTCTTCGATAGGCCTGCTTCTTTTTTTTTTTCTTATTTTCTGAAAATTAGAACGTGATGGGGGGAGAGGGGAAAGGATCTCTCACCTGGTTAAAAGTGTGCAGTACCAAGACATTAATGAAAGTACACTCTGAGAGTGAGTAAATGAGTATAGGTAGTTCAGAGACTCGGATGTAAGTATTGATGTGGTCCATTGTTGCTAAGATCTTGGTGTTTAATGTTAAGCATTAAAGTGAGATGCATTTTTTTTCTTTAAGGTATGCAGCCCCTCATGTATTCTGTGCAAGAAGCATTACATTCTCAACCATGTTGGACTCGTGTTGGGACAGATATTTGTTACTATAAGTAAGTACACAATCAAGCGTACAGCAAGTCTTACACTGAAGGTTAGTATCAGGTCCAATTTTTGGAGAGAAATGTTTGTTTCCAAGGTCGATGATTCTATTTTAGTAATTCTGCTGTGAAGAGCATTTTCTGGAGAGTAACAGAAGTGATCGAGGTATATAGGGTCTTATTTTGTTAGCACACTGCTAATGATTGAGCTGCTCATCTTTTATACTTTTGTCAGAAATAGCATACTGCTCCAGAGGAGCTTTTAAGGGAATATGTATATGCATGCTTACTCAAAATCTTAATGGTGACTTTCAGGAATACTGGTCATGTGGGGCTTGTGATTAGGCTTCTACATTCTATAGTGCAGTCGTTGTAGAGCAAGCCTGGATGAGGTGGTACAGCATATGTATGTGTTTGCTTCCCATTTTGTTGTTGTTTTGTTTGGTTATTTGTTTTTGTTTACTCACCTTTTCCAAAATGAATGAAATGTGTATCACTGCTATAACAAAGTATGTTTACTGATAGTGGTAACCAGGGTATTTACTACGATGTATGCAGAAGAGAAATGCAATCACTAAAAATCTTCCTTGCTCTTAGGATGTGTGTTCAGGAATAATCAATTATATGGAAAAAAATTATTCTAGTGTGTTTATTACCTTCATTTTACTCTTAGGAATCACTTTTCAAGAAGTTCAATTGCTGCTGGAGGTCAAAAAGGAAAATCTTATTACACAATTACGTTCACAGTGACTTTCCAGCATAAAGGTGATGTCTGCTACTTTGCTTACCATTATCCATATACATACTCAACTTTAAAGGTAAGAAGATCATGCTCTGTTACACAAATAAAACGTTTTGCTTTTGGACAGTATGACACAAGCATTGATAAGTGAATTCTTTTTTTATAAATTTAAAAATGTTCCTTAAAATGGAGAACTTTTGTAAAATACTAGGTGTTTTGACTGGCAGAGTTTGTAGATTGTTCTGAAGAACAGTTCCTGGAAAAGTAAAATTGATATGTACTTGCAACCTAAATGGGTTTTCTGGGAATCACAATTCGTAATTGACTGAAAACAGTGCTAATTGGATGAAGTATTTGTGTTTGACTCAAATGACTCATATCCTGCTGTCCTACCTATACCTCTTCATCACTGACCTATTCAAGTTACTATATTTAAGATAATTAGATACCTTTTCAGGATAATGAAGTGGCTAAAGAAGTGTTGTGGACCTTTTAGCCAACAGTTTTCCTTAGTACTAGAACGTCTGTTGGTTGCTTCTGTCATAGCGGTAGAAGCGAACTTGGAGTCAGTGGCCAGAGTGTAAGAGCGTTGAATGAAGCTTTTCGCTAAACCATCCTTGCTCTTAGGAGAAGTACCCTTCATGGGACGTTCTAAGCAGCTGCTGTCTCCAACAGCTCTGTGTCCTGGCATTTCCTCCTGCTTCGCTGCTGGAGCCCAGCCGAGGGACCCAGGGGTCTCTGTCCCAGGCTGATGGATGTGGCTGCTGCTGTCCTGTTTGCTTGTAGGTTCAACCACTAGCAAGTCAGAGTGTGTATCCCAGAGAGAGACTGACTCACACATACACACTTGCACATGCATCCTCCAGCCCCAGCACAGCTGGCAACAACAGACTGGCACAGACAAGGTGTTGCCTTTAACAGCAGCTGTGTGTGGCACTACCAGAACTTGCTTAAAAGGTAACTACAGACACCCAAGTCCCTTTCCTCCTCTCCAGCTGGAAAGGATCACTAGGGAAAAGTACTCACTCACCTGCCCTCTAGAATCACAAGCATGCACACATTGAGCCCATCTGTGTGTTCGTAACCCCTCTTCCTACTCTAAGGTGCTGGCACCGACATGCCCTCCCTGGGTTCACTCGCCCTTACCGTGCCATTAGCTGTTTTTTGGGACGCGCACTGTTCTTCCTCCAGTGGCTGGATACCAAGGCCCTTACCCACTCCAGTAGCTGGCACTGGGACCCACTCTTGCTTCCATTGCTGACACCGCAGCTGGAAGGGTGCCTACGCTGCCTACAGCTCCAGCTGCTGGCACCAGATCCACTCCCTTCACTCCAGTAGCTGGCACTTTGGACACAAAGTCTGTGGTGCCCACAGACGTGCTTCCAGGAGGAGTGGCCTCTCCAACTACTGATGCTAAGACCTTTGCTCAGCTGACCCAATTTGCTCTTTCCTATTGTTTCTGTTAATGTCTGGTCTACCAGTATTGTTTCTTTATGTTCCTGTTGATTTCTTCTCCCTTTACTTGTTACTCCCTTTTGCACCGGAAAGGTCCCTGATCAGATAACCTTAATGAAGCACAACTTTAATGAACCTTCCACATACCCTTTCAGTATCATCTGGTAGAAAATAATGTACCTTCTGTGCCTTCATCTTCCTCAAAGAAGTTGTTAAATCAGACTCTTAAAAAGAGAAGTATTCAGTCAGTCACAGATGTAGAGAATGATATTTCAACTTCAGAATTATGATGGAAACTTGAACATCGTTTAGAATGACAAAAAGAAAGATTAATTAAATAGTACCTGTGGAATACACTGTGATACATGACTGCAAAAGGTTTGAAGTATTTTTTCATTATTTTGGGGATGAAGATGCATCTTCAGAAGCTGGAATCTATGCACAACCCTCAACAGATATATTTTCGGCAAGATGTTCTCTGTGAGACCCTGGCTGGCAACAGTTGTCCCTTAGTCACTATTACAGCCATGCCAGAGTCCAGTTACTATGAACATATCTGTCAGTTCAGTAAGTATGACTTTTTGTTTCTCATCAGCTGAAAATAATGTAAAACTAGCTCTTTATTAAAAAAAAAAACCAAACTTGTTGTGCATTGTGAAATAAGGTTAATGAATTTCGTTAAGAGGTGTCAATATTCAGAGTTTGCTTTCTATTTAGTAACATTTATTTGTGGTAGTCAAAGATATTTGTATCTGGATATAGAAGGGTATATATATTTTAAATCAGTTGCTAGATACTGTTGTGTTACATTTTGCAGATGACACTTCTTTTAAAAGAATACCTGACTTCTGAGTAATGTTTTTCTCAGAATGCTCAGGTTATTTGCTTGGTGAAAGATCTTTCATAAAGCCAGTATCTAAGCCACTGTAATTTGAAATGAGCTTTAGCTATAATGGGTTTGTTCTTTTACCCCGTTATTTTTCTGGACTATTGGAGGAAAAAAAAAAAAGCCATTGAAGTCATCACATCGTAATCGCCAGATCAAACTAGTTGTGACTCTGTAATTGCCTGATTGAATATAAAGCTTCATTGTGGGACTTAGTAATTGGCATCTCTTGTAACGACATTATGGCAAGCTTTATCAATAATACTCAGCTCCCAAACATGTATCTTGCAGTGTAATAAATGAAACTGGCTATTGCCTCTTTTTTTCTTTTTTTCAATTGACAAGCTGTTTGCTTAACTTGAATCATATTTTGCAACTTCTGTGCATACTTCTAGGGAATCGTCCTTATGTTTTCCTATCTGCTCGTGTACATCCTGGGGAGACTAATGCAAGCTGGGTTATGAAGGGAACACTGGAATACCTTATGAGCAATAATCCAAGTGCCCAATGTTTACGAGAATCTTATATTTTCAAAATTATTCCCATGCTCAATCCAGATGGTGTCATCAACGGAAAGTAAGCATAAACTTACTCACAGATATGTAACCTGTACTACTAAGTCTTTGCATCTGTTATTAAAAAAAAATAATCTAAACTACTCCTGGAATCATATAAACGTAGTGCTTAATATGAAGCAAAACCACTTACAAAATGGCTAGGACTTTACAATTTTTTTGCTGTTTAAGCGCAGATGTGTTGTTCCATGAATTTCAGTTTTATAAAATGATTATCACCCATGAATAACTGAAAATACAAATTTCAGTTTTATAAAACTGAGACTTGTATTTTCAGTTATTCATGGGTGATAATCATTCCAGTGTGATTTGGCATGGTATTTTAATTGTCTCTCTGAACTACAGTCTTGGATAGGTGTGGAGTGTTACATGAGAGGACAACTGCTTTTAGGGTAAGCTGAACAAGTTCATGGTTCTCATGAAAAAGAACAGGTTTTGTATCTGAGAGATTTTTACATAATTTTACTTTTTAATAGTTTTTAGAAGGATGTTATGGAAATGGCTGTTATGAAATTGTTGAAAGGGGGGAAGTTAATAGGTGTGCAAGAGAAAGGGTAAGAGTATCCTGATTTAATCAGTTATTAGTGGTAATTTTTTCAGTTACTACCACTTTTCTTAATAAATTTAAGGGATGTTTCAGAACCTTTTGATACTGCTATAGGTAGGCGTTCAGCAGTCTGTATTTTCTTCATTACGGGGAATTCATATAAAATGGAAATTTTTGTATGGTGAATCTACAGTTCCTTCTTACCTAGTTATGGGGTAGTATTTTGAAAAGTTTTGTGAATAAAATAATAAAAGTCAAACAAATTATGGATTTCAGTAGAATCCTGTCTTTACATACGTAGAAGCAGGTATATAACAGAACATCTGGAATTAAATCATTTAGAATACTAGTGGAAGCTTTTTACAGGGACAGTGAAGAGACCTGTCCCAGTAGACACAATCTAAAGGCAAGTGTACTGAAGAGTTCTGCATGAACGTGAGCAGGTTTTGGGAGTTCTTGATGATAGTTGACTTAGTATAGTACAGAGATGATCTCAATTTGTTTGCTGGGATTTTTGGTTTTGGTTTGTGGGTTTTCTTTTTTTTTTTTTTTCTTTCCTGCTTTTCTCACAGCTACATCTCTCCTAACAACTTCATGTTTCAAGTCTTAGATTTCTGGTTGACGTAAGTCTTTATGTTAAAAAGTCAAGATATCCAAACTGTAAAGATACCATATATTCAAAATTACTGATTTTGAACTAGCATTTGAATAGAATCTCAAGCCTTCAGTTTCAACAGCAAATAAGCAAGATTACAGTTGACTTAATATAAGAAGCTGCTTTTCATTTAGTTTTAGGTTTTCTGTATCATAACTTAAAAATCCCCAAACACTTCTATTATTTGGCATGGTAGAAAACTGAAGTTTGTTTCTTATCAGACTCCTTCCAAAGAAGCAGTGGTGATGAGGAAAACTTGAGGTGGGGGGGAGGCATATTTAAAAGTATGATAATACAGACTACATCATGCGTTTTTCCACTCCCCCACAATAGCCACCGTTGCTCTTTAAGTGGAGAAGATTTAAACAGACAGTGGCAAAATCCAAATCCAGATCTGCATCCCACTATTTACCATGCTAAAGGGTTACTGCAATATCTGGCTGCTATAAAACGTTTACCTTTGGTGAGTATGTGTGTGTAAGCAATTCTGAATCTTTTTAACCGTGTCTATGTAGCTAGTCTGTAAAGTAAACATTTTAATATGGTCTTGTAAACTGTGTCACACTTAAGTTTGACTCGGAGAACTGGTCTTCTGCAAACCTTTAGATCTAAATCTGTTTCCTTTGCTAGGGTAGAAGGTTAAACCTTCATTAAATGAATCCTGCATTTTTGTCTTAATGCACAAGTTATATAAGGAGTTGTGCTTCCTAATTCTTTGGAACTTTCAGCAGTAAAACCAAAAAATTCTATTTGTCCTTCCATTACTTTTATAAAATGTTAATTCCATATGCCTTGGCTTTATTTTGCCAAATGATTTGTTGTAGGTCTACTGTGATTATCATGGTCACTCTCGTAAAAAGAATGTATTTATGTATGGCTGCAGCATCAAAGAGACAATGTGGCGCACAAATGTTAACGCTGCCTCTTGTGACCTGATGGAAGACCCTGGTTACAGGGTAAGTTTGACCTTGTACCTTTTTCACTGTGCGCATAGTGGCATAAGCAGAATTGCTTGGAATGATCTCTTTTTAGTTCAGGAGTGTACTTCAGAGTATTTTGAGAGCTTTGAACACTGTTCGCTAATATGGCAAAGGACTTGAATATCACTAGAATGCTTCATTTTTGGGGGTCTTTGTGCCAATACGTGCTTTTTTGTGTTCAGTATTACCATTGTGGCAAACACATGGAAAATATGCTTCCGTGCATTTATAATTACTAGGTTAAAAAAAAAGTCATTTAAGCATGGCAAACAATACTCTAGCAAGAAGAAAATGAAAAATACTGAATTGCTCTGAGAAATACTCATTTTTTGTGTATGGAAATAGGCAGGGTTCCTCTTATAAAGTTGTGTAGTTAAGGCATGTGCCCCGAGTACACATAGATAATAAACTTGCATAAACAGCATTCACTGCATTGTATAAGCTTTCAAAAATTCCCAAAGACTTAGAATTACGTTATTACCTGTTTTCTGTGTAACTCCACTGCCGTCTTGTGGCAACTGCCAATCTGTGCAACCTGATGCGTCCAAACCTCGTGGTTTTTTGAGGAAATGCAGACTTAAGCTTGAAAAGAGTCTGAATGCATGTTTAAAGCTTGTTATGCATCCGTGAGTGTAAAGGAGTACAGATGCTTTCAGATTCTTTTCTTAAATCTCCCTCCCTTTAAAAAAAAAAAGTCCTATCGCTCCTTGATTTTCTTGATTTCCTGGATGGTGAGTCCAATGCCATTCATGTCTGCTGATCAGCACGTTTATAGGAGGTTTTGTCAGCTCAGCCTGTACTGCCATAGCGCACAAAAGACAACAATCAGTAAGAGTTGTGGGGGAAAAAACCTGGTTTCAGAAAAGTGGACGGAAGGGTTTCAGCAAGCTTACACTAATAATGGTATGTGTGCTACTGAAATAGCAAATTGAACGTGGTCATGTACTTTGGCTTAAATGATGCAAATAAAAGCTGAAGAGAAAAGTAGTTACTTAGCGTTAGTCAAATACATAATTTGCATTACTGTTTATTGTCTTTTTCCAGAGCTGTCATGTGAACAGCTAAATTGAACTTTTATTCAAGTTCTTCAGGTTAAATATCCACCTAGTACTTTGCTGAATAAAAATGGATTTTATGTATTAATAAAATACTGCCTGTGTTAGGTCTGCAAATTGGATTGTTGAAATAGTCCAAAACTGAATTAAATTAATTATTCATATGGGGTATGTAGTACACGTAATTTCAGCAAAGTTAGCTTGCTGAATTAGGAGATGGTGATCACCTTAAGAGTTCTTTTGTATGCTGAATCTTACCTACATGACTAGCACTTAATTTTAGTGATTGAATCTGAAAAGGGATTTTAATAAATAGGAAATGGCAAGCTTGTTGTTACTTGAAGGAACACACTGGGTTTTGAAAACTCAAGGTGGAGAAATGTTTGCATTCTTGTTCTTTTAATTCAAATTGCAGCAGAATTTTCTGCTAAGCTTGTGATTGTGTATTCCCCTCGCTCCGGCTTCTGCTAGTGAAATAGAAGAATCTCTGTATTTTTCAAATTGCTGTCCTGCAGGCACTCCCCAAGATCCTGAGTCAAACTGCCCCAGCATTCTGCATGGGCAGCTGCAGCTTTGTAGTGGAAAAGTCCAAGGAATCAACGGCGCGAGTTGTTGTCTGGAGAGAGATAGGAGTACAGAGGAGCTACACAATGGAAAGCACATTATGTGGATGTGACCAGGGCAAATATAAGGTACGAAAATACATCAGTTGAACTGACTTTGCTTTATTATTCCTTCCATTTACATTGGTATCTTGTTCTGTAATGCCACTTGCTTGTTTGCTTTAAACTTCTAAAATTCTGCTAAGATCTGCATACTAATGTTTTGAGTGAAATTGCATCATTTACAATGTTACAGGTTGTGTAACAGTGTTCATCTGCTGCTTAGACACCACCCATCACCCTACTTCCCCTCCCCACACCCCCACACCCCCGGGTAGGTTATGCTTGTTGGTTGTTTTAACAAGATTAATATTAGTTATTGCTTGGAACACATATGTATGCATGCAGTTAAATCAGGTGTTTCTTTCCAGTAGATTATTAAAACTGGGTAATAATAAATGCCAACACTAGAATTAAAATTTCCTTTACACGTGCCAGTTTCAGACTTCACCATGGCAGTTCATGGTTCTTTAGTAGTGTCCCTCACAGAATTTTCCTGTGTAGCTGTAGAGGCAGGCTTAAAAATCAAAACACTTTCATACCAGGTTACCAGAACTACAAGTTGCACATCTGTGAACTCACAGTTGTTTGACTTCTTGACTTAAAACTTGTTTTCAGTTTGTCTCCTTTAGAAGTGTTAACAGGGCTGGTTAAGAAAAGGTGACCCTGTTTGTGATTTCTCTCTAGTAGAAAATTTACTTCAAATAAAATATTTGTAGGGGAAAAAAAAAGAATCACCACACTGCCATCTGATCTTCAGCTTGTGTCACTAGGTTAAATTTAGCTACACATTGAAGTAAGTTTTTAAAATGAACATTCATGAAATAAGTCAGCTTTCTTCTGCTCGAAAATCGAGTTTAGGAGTGCTAATCAAGAAGATGACCACAAGCCTTAAGTAAGGTGCTTGATAAAAGAGGATCAGAAGGCTGGGATCGGGGTTGAGGGGAGGGGTCAGGGCAAGAACAACAACAACAAAAAGCTGGAACAAGGTATTTTCAGTGTATCAGTGTATGCTCCAACAGCCACGCTCATCTCCCTAGACAGAAGGAAGGACCGGTATTTCGGCAGGAATTTCAGTAGGTCTGTAACTACTAAATGCTTCTATTGTTAATTGACAAAGTTACTCCTGCTACTGTCAGAATATTCCATTATTCCTCAGATGATATCATTAAGGAGCTGTGAAATATGGTATTTCATCCAACTTGCTTATTTTGAAACTTTTTAAACATGAATTTTTATAGCTTTAGCACTGCTGCTACAGAAAGTTCTTAAGAAAAGTGAATTGAAGATGCTTTCTGGACAAACTTTTAAGATGTGTAACCTGCAAAGCCCTCCTTCAGTAAGAGATGAAAAAAAAAAGCTGAATTCTGTGGAAAAATCTTTTACTCAAAAGAGAAGAGAATTCTTTTCTGTAATATAAATTAGCTCATGATATCAAATTACTGTTGTCGTTAATTTTATTTAGAATAAAACAATTTGTGAGGTCTTAGTCATTCTCTGAACACACAGGAAGATTCTTCATTTTTTCTTCACTGTGATAGTGCTCAGTTGTATTAAGAAAATGTATCTGAAAGGCCAAGACTAGAACAAGAAAAGAGCAACATTTCTCCAGTGAGAAGGTCAAAGAGATGAAAAGGCTCAGGTTTGTGGTTTTTTTTTTTTTTTTTTTTTGGGTTTTTTGTTTGTTTGTTGTTGTGGTTTTTTTTTTTGGAGGGGGTGGGGCCCGCAACTCTGTGAATAGATTTTTGATATAAATTAAATGACTTATTTCATAATACGTTATTTCGAAATACAGAGAGGAGTTCAACGGTAGAAATTCCCTCCCCTCCTGCTTTCCACCCCAAAGGACGTGACAGTTCAGACCTGAGGGCCTGGACTGTGTGTCATGTAAAGGTCTGAAGCACTTTTCCAGTCTTACTCTGGTTTGGCATCATCACTGAATTTTGTTCAAAGCACAAAGAGGATTACCCAACAATGTTGTTCTTTGTAAAAGAAAGGCCTAGTCTTTGCCAAAGCTGGATAGTATCACCATATCATTTTTTCTTTGTATTCTTTTTATGTTATGCCAGACAATGGTGATGCTAGACTGTTTCCAGACAGGAAGCTGTTCAACTGAAGTTAGCAATTCTTACCTGAATTTAGGATTCCTCTTGGCAGAGTTATCTCTGGAAGCAATCTTGTTTTAACTGCTTGCATGGAGTCTTTGTAGTGCATTGAGAATTAGTGCTGCAAATATTGCTCAGTCGTGTGCAACTCAAGATACTGAAAAACAAACACTCAGGTGAAAAGATGCTCCAAGATGTACTGTGGAGGATAATTGTGATGCCAGACAAAAGATGTCTTCAATAAATCAAACCCCCTGAACAAATCGATTCCTTTTCATATTGGAGATTAGTAAGTTTGGGAGTATTGTGTAAAAATTAAGTTAATTGAAAAGATGTTATCTGGCAATTTTATGATGCATGTAAAGAGAAGACTCTAGGAGATAAGGATTCAGTCGTCAGACTTTGTCACTTACCATGATTCTTCAGTCTCTAGATTTTGAGTTCTCAGAAATTACCAGCATCTTTGTAGCCTCTTCTGAACAAGAAATCAGAAGAACAAGGCTAAGTTTTACTGTCCATCTGACTTCTCCACATCTTAGTTAGGCTGTTTTCAATCTATTAAGTACCTATTACTGTATATTCTTTTCAACTTGAGGTCTCAGTCTGTTGTGCTTTTGTTTTGCATCTTTGCTTTCAGGTAGCAAAGTTAATTCCCAAGGCACTCATTTCATGTGGAGATATTGTAATGATGTGCTTAGTAAGAAAGACTTAAATCAACCATCTAAAATGTCACAAGGTAGAAGAAAGACAGCTGTATAAAAGCTGTCTGTATAAAGACAGCATTATAAAATGTGAAGAAAAATGAATAAAATCTGGTACATGTTTAAAAAAAAAAAGGCAGCTATATCAAGGTGACTTGTGCTTAAAAGCAATGCTTGTCACACTTAAGGAACTTCAATGGGCTGTGGCATATAGTTAAAGGTATGAGAACAGCGGTTGAAGATGATTGCAAGATCAAGAAGAGGAGTCGATTTAAAGACTTCCGTGAAAATTAACACCTCAGATCTCATGGTTCGGTCAACAGTTTATTATAACTTCCTGAAACAGACCTTGGGTTTCTTGTTTCATGGAAATTAAGAGATTTGGCTGAGGGAAGAGTAACAATGGATTAAGAAGTGTGGTATTTGGCAGCTGCATGGTATTGCATTCTCCATTACGATATAAAGAAATAGCAAAGGCAAATCTAGACTTTTACTGCAAGTATGTAGACACTTCAGTATAGAAAGTCCAAGCGTTTCACAGTTACCCACCTCCAATCTGATCCATTTAGGTCTCTCTTTAGTTATATCTTCTTTCTGCAGCACTGAAAATCGCAGCCACGGAACATGCACACGCTATTTATCTTTCTAACGATTGTCTTTGCACCTTCTTTCATACTGAACTTTTGTCCTTTTTTGACTTGGAGCCACTCCTATTATACTCCCTGTAAGGAACCTGCCAACTAACGATAACTTCCTCAGCAAGAGATGTAGACAATGATTGGGAAAGTTTCTGAACCATCAAGTTGTGTAACAGTGAGATTACTGTTACCCTTCTCCTTCCTCTTCTGCATACTTGTTGCCTCTTGTCCTTAATGTTATTTTAATCTCTTTGGGGCAGGGACTGTGTCTTCCTGTGATTAGCGTAGTTGAGCCCCAGCTGTGACTGGGGTCTTCGAATGTTACTGATGTGCAAACAAACACAAAACAAAAACAAAAAATTGGCCTCTGTGGATAAGGTACTTCACTGTGAGTGAGGAGAACTGATTTCTGTTCCCAGCGGGGTCAGTGACATGCTGTGAGACACTGTGCAAATCGCTTCAACCCTCTCTGCCTCCATTTGTCCATCAGTAAAGTGAGGATAATTCTTCCTTTATTAATAAAGTGCTTTGAAACCTACAGCACAAAAGCATTATAAAAGAGGTAAGTGGTATTACTATTAACAATAATACTCAAGTATCCAACCCTTGTTCCCTGCTAACAGGTTTCTGTACTACTTGGCTGGAGGATGGCACTGTTTAGAATAGTGGATATACCTTTAGTTTTCTTGTTACTAAAACCATCTTGTTTATGAAGAAAACCAAGGAAAAAAACTCACAAGGAAAATAAAACCTAACTTTCCATTTATCAAGTGTGCCTTGGTTCAAGACAGAAGTACGTGAAGAATGTGGGATTGTACCATTTCTGGAGCAACACAACACTTGCTTTAACCTTGCGCTTGAAAATACAGTGTTGGTGTGGCAATATGGACTTGTGTGTGCGTGTGTGTGTTTTAGCTTTTAGTTAAAAAAAAAAAAATCCTACTTCATTCTTTGTGCTTCATGTATTTTCCTACTTGATGACTTACCACCAATTCCTGGTTCTTCTGCTTCCCTGCTTGTTTTGTCAAAACTCCTTTTTAACTACCCTTTACCCTTTTGTTTTGTCAAAACTCCTTTTTAACTACCCTCTTAACTACTACATTAAGAGGCTTAGAAGATCCAAACTAAAATAATTTTAAATTCTCCTGAGATACAGAAGTTGCAAAGGGGAAGATTGAGTTGGGTTGTGATATTGAATTTGTTAGTACATACGCAAGAAGTAGCAGCTAATTCCATAATAGTTGAGGGTCACTCTGGAATGTTATTGTCTTTTTCCTAAAGTAAGTGAGGTCAGAGGTTCTGCCCCTACATACTGCACTGCTGGATGAATTAAAAGCATAGAATTATCTGATGGGAGGCTTTATGTCATATGTCAACTTGGAGAATATTATGCAAGTTCTACATCCTAAATACTCTTTGCAGATTAAAATGCCTTGGTATATCATTGAAGTTAGAAAACAGCTGTGGCTTTTGGTACCTTGTTGGTTTTAATTACTAAATGTGTACATAAATGCTTCCAGCATTAACACATGTAGCTTCCAACTTAAAGAACTGGAAGAGATGTTTGTGTCAAGGAGTAACTTTGTTGGCTTAAATAGTCTTACTTATCTGTCAGAACATGGCAGTGAACTTGGTCACAGCTACAGTATGAATTCAGACATTATTTTCATTTGATAGAACTTCTGTTGAAGACTCTTATTTGAAATCTTGATATTTGAAATTCTTTTTTATAAGTTTTGTTTTAGGTTTTAAAATAATTTGTACCTATAAACATCAAGATGATCTCTGTCTCTTCCAATGCCACTGGATAAAGTCCTTTTAATATTGATGTGCTAGAAATGTAGACTAGGAAGGTCCCAAGAAATGTGGATGTGTCCATAAATGTCTGTTCAGCCTTTGAGTAATCATGCATTTATTCTCTGAGTTTTCTCTGATACTCTTGCGAAGTGTTTACAGTGTGTATTTGTTCTGTCTTTAGAACAGTAGAGTGTATTAAATAACAAAATGTGGTTTTAAATGGTATCTCTGCAGTGTTTGTGGGTCTATCTGCATATACCTATTTTTATATTTTTAAATCTTATTCTTAAATTAGGGATTACAGATAGGCACAAGAGAACTGGAGGAGATGGGAGCAAAGTTCTGTGTTGGCTTACTGCGTTTAAAAAGAATGGCTTCACCTTTGGAATACAATTTGCCTTTGAGTCTGTTGGATATTGAAAATGATCTGATTGAGTCAAGCTGTAAAGCGACAAGGTAGTACACATTTATTATACTCTCTTTTTCCCCCCAGGAAAAATTGCAGCTTCTCAAGTGACGGAGATTCTTTCAAAAAATATCCCTTTACCCATCCAAATTAATGTTGATGTATTGTGACCTGTTTCTGTAACAATAATCTGACTATACTGGAGATCTGTTGTGATAATTCAATTGCTTCGAACTTCTAAAAAATCCAGTAAGTACAGTTAGACTGTATGTCACATTTGTTGCTGAAATAAGCACTGGACCTTTAAATGTCATCAGAGTAAACCCTGATGTGGTAAGACTCAGTATGTCCTAGGTTTCAATTGTCTCTTTGGTTTTTTTGGTTGGTTGGTTGTTTTTTTTTTTTTTTAAATTATTGGCTGCAATATTAAAAATATATTTAGGCAGACTTAAAGAATGTGAATTAACTAAAGTGTGTGTCGTCCGTCTCCAACCCTCCCTTCCTCCCCCGGTGGAGATAATTTAAATGTTATATGTTTAAAATGTATGAAATAAGGTTTGGGTCAAAAAAGAAATGTGTTGTATTCACCCCAGAGTACTGAGGGACTTGGCGAAAGAGCTTGCCAGGCTGCTCTCCTTCATTTACCTGCAGTCCTGGTTAACAGGGGAGGTC